GTCGATCATTCCATGATGCTCTTTCCTCAGTGTGCATGCTCACTGACTGCACTCGCTGCACCACTGCAGCGACGCACCCTTACTCACCACTGCACTGCGCTGCACTGCACTGCACTGCACAGCACAGCGCTGCACTGCACTGCGCTGCACTGCACTGCACTGCACTGCACTGCACTGCACAGCACAGCGCTGCACTGCACTGCGCTGCACTGCACTGCACTGCACTGCGCTGCGCTGCACGGCACGGCACTGCACTGCACTGCACTGCACTGCACTGCACTGCACTGCACTGCACTGCACTGCATTGCACTGCACTGCACTGCACTGCACTGCACTGCACTGCACAAAACTGCACTCAAACACCGCACTACACTCCACTCACAACTGCACACTGCACTGCACAAACTGCAGTTCTTGTCTGCATTTACAGCATGCATTCACAGCGCTTCCCACTGCACTCCACACTCAATGCACTCACTTAGCTGTGCATCGTGTGTAATCTGAGCAGACATGCGCGCGAGTGCGCGCGGGCGCGCCCGTGCATGCACGCGCATGCAGTCAATGCTGGGCTTACGTGTCAACTTGTGCTTTGCACATGTTGTGCGGTTTACAAATCCATCTGCGTTGGAATTAAATTTGATTAGAACAAACAACTCCAGCGAGTGGAATCATCTGATCACGTTGGAGTTCATCCATGCAGATCTGCAAGTCCGACCACCCACATGTTGGTGGGAAGCTGCATGTCTGTTGCTGTTGTTGCGAAGAGGCCTGTTCCGGTTCTGTGCATGCACGTCTATGTCCCACCAAATCCATGTTTGGCTGGATGAGAGGGTCCATGTGGGTGCAAGCGCAAAGCCAACTGCACGCTTTCTTCCTTCTCTGGTGCTGCTTGCACTTGAGTGCTGCCTTTGCTGAGTACTCCTTCATCTTTCGCTTCAGGTGTCGTCTGGGATGGTGCCTTCACATACTGATTGGTGAGGTCTTCATGCACAAAGCCTCACGTGTTGTTCAAAAGCTGTGCAGCAAGGAAAAAAATGAAGCACGTATTGCTGCAAGAACGTGCCCAGGTGTGAGCCAGGGCTGCAGGTGAAGTAACGCAGGACAGCAACATGCGCAGCTGGAGATCTGAGCGGCCTGCAGGAACTGTTTGGTCCGAATCTCCTCTGTGTGTAGTAAAGCGCGAGGCTGTCGCCATGGCTCTAGCCTGCGCTTCTGTGTTATCCCGCTGTTGAGGTGGCATTGTTGGGGTCTTGGCTTGCCGCCTTCGCAGGATTGGAAATGGCGAAGACCCCACAGTGTCATTGTTCACCGGCACGGCGGAAGCGCAACCGAAGGCGCGTGCTAAGGCACCGTTTGACAATCTGTGTGAGAAGACTGCTGTTACACCGGAGCCTGCCTGACGGCAAGAGCCACGAACCGAGCTTGACACCCGTTGCAGCTTTTGGGGCTTTCTTGAGTGGTTTCTTGGAGACCAGCGGCCTGGCTTTGGCAGTTTTCTACAGGAGTCTGTTCTCGGAGGTGCCGCAGTCATGTGCCAGACGCAACAGCAAGGACATTTTTCCTCTGCCACCGATTCTCGAATGGGACGTTGGTTTCGCTGCCACCGACGAGCAGGCGCACCTCGTGTGCTCAAACCTCTGCATTGCCGCGCTCAACTTTCTGTACCAGGGCATGCCGAAGAACCCTTCTGAGATTCGCAGCAGTCGCAGATGTTCTTCTGCACAACTTGGGGTCCACCAGCACATCATGCAGAGAACTGCACGTCACCTTCGCAGACTGGCTGATGCCTGGGAGGGCGGCTTCAAGTGGACAGGCTCCTTCTCGAAGTACGAGTCTGCCAGCAGTTCTTGTTACGAGAAGGTTCGTGGCGACGACGTTGACCTGCCGTCCACTGCAGCCACCTGTGACCCTGCTCTCCTGGCGCGCGAGGAACTGTGGAGGCTAGTTGTCCAGCCCGAGAGCGTTTTTCCTAACGCTTGTGAGCCGAGCGGGTTGGTCAGAGAAGCTCCGCTGACTGGTCAGGAACGCCAAGAGTACTTGCGCCTCACTGTGCGTGAACTGCAGTGTGGCAAGCTCCGACTCCGGCACACTGTCAAGGGGCGTGCCAGAATTTTCGCTGCCCCCAAGTCTGCGGAAGGCAGACAGCGGAAGATCTGGGACGGCTCTGCTCTCTCAAGCATTGCGGCGGTGCCTCCGGCCCCACACCGCTTGGCAAATCCGAGTTCGTTCCTGGACTTGTTGGTTCGCCCAGGCGAGAAGCTTCTGTTGTCGAAGAGGGATGCAAGCACATTTTTCGACAGCTTGAAGGTTCCGAAGGCTTTGCAAGAGTGGTTTGGCCAAGCTCCGGTTCGGGTGGGAGAGCTGCTCAGCTTTGGCTTGAAGCTCGACGACATCCGCCGCTGGACCGACGACCTTGGGGAGAAACGGTTGCATAAACACGCTATACTTTTTCCTGTCAATGTCGTGTGGCCCATGGGATTCAGTTGGTCGTCTTGCATAGCCCAAGACACTTCACTGGGCTGTGTCTTGGAAGCTGGTGTTGCTGAAGACTGCATCCTAAGCCTGGACCACGCGCTGCCAAAACATCAGGACGAGCTCTGTGCAGTTGCTACGGACGATGTAATGTTTTTCCACAAGAACCACGATCGAGGGCGCACTACGCTTCGCAGGTTGGACCGCGTGTTCGCCGAACACGGTGTGTCTAAAAACTTCAAGACTGATGTCAGCCTATCCTCTGCCATGACAGGGCTGGGTTGCGACATCAGTAGTTTTCCTCCGCTTGTTGAGCCCGCTTGCAGGAAACTCGGAGGCATCGTACTGTCTCTTTGCGACTTGCTTTCGAGTCGTGTGGCCAGCCCCAAGGCTGTCAGCTCCTTGCTGGGGGTCTTGCAGTGGTTCAGTCTCCTGCAAAGGGGAATGTTCAGCATGTTCGACGAGGTCTACAAGTTCGCTAGCCAGCCGCAGCAGCAGGAGCGAAAGCCTTTGCCTGAACAAGTACTTGGCGAGCTTGTTGAGTTCCTGGCTCTGGCTCCGCTGCTCCCGGCTGCTCTTGACAGGCAGTTTCTGGACACGATGCTGGCTTGCGATGCCGCTCCTGAGTTTGGCTTTGGGGTCTGTGCTTTCGACTGTGGCCGCAGAGTCACTGAAGAGGTTGGGAGGCTTGCTGAGCGTCGAGGAGATTATGTCAGATTGCTTCCTGGGCCTGCTTGTGCTGAGGTGCCGAGAAGTGGCACGCAGCACAGGCTCCCGTTCGAAGAACAGCAGTTTCGCACACTCATTTCCTGCAAGGCACGCAAGCCTGCTCACTCTGGTCTGTTGGAATGTCATGGAGTTCTTCTGACTTTGAAATGGGTGAGCCGCAGCAAAGCACGCTTTCACTCACGCCCAGTGATTCTTGTCGACGCCAAGGTTGCTCTCGGCTGCATAAGTAAGGGCAGAAGCTCTGCAAGAGCTTTGCGCCGAGTGCTCCGCAGCACTGCAGCCGTTTGTTTGGCATGTGACCTCCTACCAAGATTGATCTACATTCCCTCGGAATCTAATCCAGCCGACGGGCCTTCAAGAGGCCATCCAAGGCGCAAACAGATGTAGATTCGCAATTCATTGCAACGGCAGTCTGGCTTTTGACGCCCTCTTCTGCTGTACCGGGTTCAGCGCGAACATGCCGCTCAACGGGTGGCATGCCTTCGACTGGCTTTGGGCAGAGCTTGGAACTGTGCAGCAGAATACTCGGGCTGTGATCTGTGCCCATTCACATTCTTGTTCTCGTGTGCTTGTGTGAGGCTGACTGAGATAGCCTACCTAAAGTTTTGTTGGTTGCGGCCACGAGTTTCGTTGCCAGTGCGGGGATGTGGGCTTTTGAACAAGTTCACACGAGCAGCAAAGCTGCCTCTTCTCGGCTTCGAAATCTCTAAACAGCAATGGCCAGCAGCATAAAACGATCCGAATTCTGGGGCAAATGTTTCTGAGTGACTTGGCAGCAATGAAGCACGTATTGCTGCAAGAACGTGCCCAGGTGTGAGCCAGGGCTGCAGGTGAAGTAACGCAGGACAGTAACATGCGCAGCTGGAGATCTGAGCGGCCTGCAGGAACTGTTTGGTCCGAATCTCCTCTGTGTGTAGTAAAGCGCGAGGCTGTCCCTGCCCACCCACCCTGGGCTTTTGAACAAGTTCACACGAGCAGCAAAGCTGCCTCTTCTCGGCTTCGAAATCTCTAAACAGCAATGGCCAGCAGCATAAAACGATCCGAATTCTGGGGCAAATGTTTCTGAGTGACTTGGCAGCAATATAAAAAAAAATTGCACAGCTTTGTACAGCAAGATTGAGTGCAGCACAAAACATCACAAATGTACATGTATGTGTGTATTTTTGTACACAGGTTTGTGGTATTGCTAAATATATATATATATATACACATGTATGTTTGTTTTTTACATATTCTTACTTATCTATATACATATAAGTACAAATTTATGTATATGTATATGTATATGTATATGTATATGTATGTGTATATGTATGCGT